AAAAAAAAAAAAAAAAAAATCACTGCCATTAAGTCGATTCCAACTCATAGAGACCAAATCTTTATGGAATCAGACCTCCTCGCCTTCCACAGAGCAGCTGGTAGGTTTGAACCACCAACTTTTTGATTTGTAGCCAAATGCCTTAACCACTATACTACCAGAGCTCCTTAAAACCAAACCAAACCTACTGCCATCAAGTTGATTCCAACTCATAATGACCCCCATTGAGTTTCCAAAGCTGTAAATCTTTATGGAAGTAGATTGCCTCATCTTCCTCCTGTGGAGCAGCTGGTGGGTTTGAACCTGACCTTCTGGTTAGCAGCCAATGTCTTGCCCACTATACCACCAGAGCTCCTTAGTCATGTTTTAATAATCTTTTGTTCATTTGTTTATTTCCTTTAGAAAGCGTCGTTCTTGAGACTCTACGACTGTGTGCATTTTCAAGTATCATTCGTTCTGTTGAAGAGGATTTCGCTCTACCTGTGGAATATGGGCAGTGTCTTTTGCGAAAGGGAGACTTGGTAGCCATCTTTCCTCCAGCCTTACACAATGACCCAGAAATCTTTGAAGATCCACAGGTAAGTGTACTATAAGCACATTGCTCACTCTCTTGATCTATTATTTTTTCCTCTCACCACCTGTTTCTAATACAGACTTGAGACCACTTGATAACCTCAGTTTTTGCTTCTAATAGAAAAGTTTTCCTATTTACTGATGTTTTTCCTAAGGATCTATCGTTCAAAGATTTCATAATTTATGAAGAGAAATACAGTGGTGAGACTAAATGCTAATTTCCTAAAAAGAAATTGACATTGCACCTTGGCCACCATTATCTTTAGGCCAAAATTGGGTTTTACTTGGCAGAGGATTATTGAAAACCATGGAGGGCTAATGATTGACAGGTGGCTTAGAGAACAAATAGTGACAACTATTTTGCTAAGCATTTCCCAAGTGTAGCTGACTGTCACAGAGCCAAATACCATCATTGCCATACTTAAACCCATACACTTTTTCACCTCTTGCTAAAGGCAGGTGCCCCTTCTTGATCAATTAGTATAGCATGATGAACTTGAGGTTGTAAAGCTGCTGCTCACGGGGTGAAGCTCTGAGGGTAATTGTGTCATCTCCTTGTATTTTTTTTCCAAAGCCGGAGTTAATGAATATCAAAGACTGGAAATTAATCCACCTGGCTTATCCTTTAATACCACTTCAGAGGTTCATCACCTGCATGCAAATTGAATGCAGTCGTATTCTGCCTATGCTTCACAAGTCATGTTGTTGCTGCAGCGTTTGTGTATATAAAATGCCATTTTTCAAATGGAAACTTCTAAGCGCTCCTTGGGCAGTTCATACCTGGGCCACTTCTAAGCTTAGTTTCTAAAGGGTTAAATATTTTGCATCCAGGCTGGATTAGAATATTGTTGGATTTGGAAAATGAATAAGGGGGCAGATTTCAAATACAATAAGATAGTTTGCATTTGTTTCATCAGCAAAAGCAGAATTTTTTAAATGAAGGGGGGATGTGCATATGGTGTTTCATATATATGTTTCAGAAGAGAAAGCGTTGTACAAATGGGTGATAGGAAGTAGGAAAATAGAGAGAGAAGGAGCATTCTGCAGAGAACCAGCTTTAGCTGCTTGTTTTTAAGTATCAAAAATTCCACATACACATACGCATTAATAGAATAGAGCAAATGAATAATCAATATCTGAAATAAATTTTAAATCAGTTTTATTTCTATCTGCAAATACTAATTTCCTTAACCATTCTTTACTCTTTATTTTAAATTATGTGATTATCTCACTAGTCATTAAATTTAATATTCTTATCTGTGTTAGTAAAGTCACATTAGAGTTATCAACAAATCTTCAGTAGATGTTGACCATTATTTTCCCTGGTTTTTCCCTGCCCCTTCTGCCCTAAAGATGGAAAAGACCTTGATTTAGACTTGGAGAAATTTTTTTTTTTAATTTCAAAGTTAAAAATTAGAAGTATGCCAATTTATATTTTTTCTGTGGAATACTAAATAGTAAGGTTCCAATTTTACATAATAATCAACTAATCTTAATAGTAATTGAAAGGATTTAATTCATAATCTGAAGAAGAACAGACTTATAATATTGTGAATACTGATTCAGCATCATTAACGTAGCTCTTGCTAGAGCTAATGAAGATTCTCTATCATTTACTAGATTTAACATTACCCAATTATGCCCAACTAATATTAAAATTAGGAGCTCTGGTAGCGTAGTGCCTAAAGGCACTTGACTGCTAATCAGAAGGCTGGTGGTTCAAACCCACCAGCTACTCCTCGGAAGGAAGATGGTGCAATCTACTTCTGTAGTGATACTGCCTCGGAAACCCAAGGAGGGGTTGCTGTGAGTCGGGTCTGACTCAACGGCACATAACAACAACAACAATATTAAAATTAATTAGCTACCTTTTGCCATAGTATTGTTTTCTAGAAATTAGTTGTGGTATGCTGATAATTCCTGGCACAGAGCAAATGATACAGCTCTGAACCACTTTTATATGATTTGGCAAGGTCTTACGTAGTCAATCATTCAATAACCCGTTACTGAGCACCTACTACTGCCAGGCATACAGATTTATTTATTTTGTTCTTAACAACTTAGCATGGTAATCAGTAAAAGCTATAGATGCTTGTATAACATGTGTCCGCCCAAAATCATCATGCACACCCAGTAAAAATGAGAAGAAAATTCTGTCCTTGGCCATATGTCCCTGGGAGCTCTTGCCCAGGAGCTTCTTGGAGCTTCTAAGTGGCTCATATTCACCACTGCCTGCCTTTTGTTCCCTGCCCAGCTTTAATGGGAAAACCAGACCTTAAGTGCAGAAAATAGATAATAACTGATAGACCAAAAATATGAGGAAGCCTAACTCTGTGTATAGATGTAGCTATTGTGATGCAAATGGTTAAGCTGCTAACTGAAAAGCTGAAAGTTTGAATCCACCCAGAGTTGCAGAAGAAAGGCCTGGCAATCTGCTTCTGAAAAAACAATGATTGATAACCCTATGGAATACATTTCTACTCTGACACACACGAGGTCACCATGAGTCAGTCAACTTAATGGCAACTGGTTTTCTACTGGAAGAACATTGAGAGTGAAGAACCCCAGCAGGAGTAGATTCTCTTAACCCAATGAGGAATGGCTTCAGAATGTTCAGAGCCAAAAGAGACTCCAGAATATTACATTCCTAAAACATGCTATGGGAGCTCTGGTAGCATAGTGGCTAAGACACTTGCCTGCTAACCAGACAGCTGACGGTTCAAACCCACCAGCCACTCCTCGGAAGGAAGGTTGGGCAATCCTACTTCCGTAGTGATACTGCCTCGGAAACCCAAGGAG